GCTCCCAATAATGGGGTCAGTTGAATTAGAACACCAACTTTATTTGTATTAGCTGAAAAAAAAATTTATGATCATAATGAACAGATGATAAAAATAAATAATTTGTATAGTTACCAAATATATTGCTGTGCTGTTCCCTAACATTTTTCTTGGCCATAGGCTTCATGGTTGTTCCTAGTACTATTTGTTCTGGGCTAAATCCTTCTGCGTTGAAAGCAGTTATCTGAAATAAAAAATATAAAAATGATATTAAAAATAAGGTTCACACGCGATTAGAGTAAAACTTATTTGCTACGGTACAAGATGACATTTAAGTGAAAATAAATACATCATATAACAATTTTGAATAATGTTTATTAGTAATATGGTAACACTCGTGATGCACACATTTATTAGTGTCAACTATTATATACATTTATATAATGATAAATTATAAATTATATATTTCTAATAGCATTCAAAATATGTATTATATTTAAAAATAATAATGTAAGTAAAGTCACACTTCAAATATTACATGATCGGTTTGTCATTGTAATTAGCATTTATAATGAACCTACATTAGACAAATGAAGTCTGATTAATAAATTCTATAATATTCGTTCACACAGTGGATTATGTTAAACAACTCTTAAACAAATATTTTTTTCGCAATTTTACTCATCATGTAATAATTGTGTTTGAAGAACTTCATGAATTTGAAATTAACATACATTCATTGACTGCTTGTATTTTTTTTACTTTTTCGCTACCGGTAGAATCTCATTCTTTGAACAGCTGTAATATCTGTCTTGCCTCAAAAATATTGTTTTTTGAATGTTTGATTTTTGAAGGACCAATTTGTTGTAAAACACTTTAATTATAATCTTATGTGTTTATTTTAGATTAATACAAGTTGTACTCGTATTTACAATATGTTTAATGTTTTTAAGTATCGAAATGATTGACTTTATTTTATGATAATTTTTGACATGATCGGCTTGCCATTGTAATTAGCATTCAGGACATAAACCTTCATTAGAGAAATGAACTAATTGCTGATTAATAAATTCTATAATATTCGTTCATACAATAGACGAATGTAATATAACAATCTTGAGTAATTTCATTAACACTATCAATAAATAAACTGCATAGATGTCTATTACGAAGTATATCTGTATATAAATGATACACAAACTATTGTTGTGCTTGATTTCTTCTTTAGAATAATAAAATGTAGTAAATATATAAATGTAGTAAATACTTCTATTGGCTCATTAGTGTACATATAATATTAAACATGGGATTTTTTTTCACAATTTTTTGAAGTCCACCCACATACCATCTTTCACTCTTATGACTTATTATCTAATTCTAGTGGTTTCTTTAAATAAATCTGAATATCGATTCATTCTTCATTATTTTATAAAAATATGCAACTTTCTAATACTTAATAGCCATCATAAACGAAAAACATGTAGATTTCTTCTAAATGTCCAAAAGTTTCTGAGATATACTTCTGAAAGAGATGCATCTTTGGCATGTTAGAATAAAGCTGTACTGCTTTAATATTTTTAATATTTATAAAAATTTAGAGATTTATTATATTAAACAACGCCTAAATAAATATTGTTTTCTCAATTTCACCTGTCATGTAATTGTGTTTGAAGAACTTCATGTAATTAAAATTAACATGCATTCATTGACTGCTCGTTTTTTTTACATTTTCGTTGGCGTACAGTCTCATTCTTTGAGGAGCTGTAATATCTGTCTAGGCTATGAAAATATTTTCTATTTTAATAACTCAAAGATTTATAGATACTACGAATCATATATAAATTATTTCTTTTAATTATTATTTCACTACAATTATTTCCGGGGTACGGAGTGAAATATTTTACTTTTTTTAATTCATTTATTTATTAAAATAGCAATCAAGATACGATTTAATCTTATAAGCTATTGTAACACAAACGAAAGGAATAAATAATAATAATAATAATAGAAGAAAGAGAAACAAAAAATAAATAAATAAAAAAAAATAATTATCTAGAGTTTATTCCAATGAGTGAAGCCTAGTGTTTCATTTGAGGAAATATTTTACTGTTTGTTTTTTTTTGACTATTTTGCTGGCGATACAGTCTCATTCTTTGAGCAGCTGTAGTATCTTGTCCGTAAAAATAATTTCCATTTAACAACCTCAAAAATGTATAGTAACCACGAATACAAAAATACTATATCACTTAACTGATTTTGTAAAAAAAAAAATTAAAATTTATTTATTAAAGATATTGTATAAAATTATGTAACTACAGTATGTATATTTAATTATAAAGATGTATAGTCGATTGGCTTTAATAAAGAAGTAAAGGAATAATACAAATTACGTCAATAAACTTAAGTTTCTTATACGGCGCAAAGGTTTCATTTGTTTTATTATTTTCACTATAATTATTTACAGGAGACGGAATGAAATATTCCTCCGATCTAGATATTTTTTATCAAATTAAGATTTCTATTAGAACGGAGCCTTAAAATCCGACATTCCTCTTACGTAGCACAACGACCAATCACAATCGACCCGTATAGAAATGGTCTCATCTAGAGCGAATGACAAATCATTTTTTTCGTTGCATTTTCACAGATTTACTCCCTAGTCGCGCCTAAAGAAGTTTTACTAGTAGGTAGAAATAGGTTTTTAGTTCAAGAAATTTACTTACCACTATTCTATAATCAGTCTCCGATGGCAGATGATTGGCTCTCAGAATTGGAATCGGAGAACTATAGTTCAAATATAGTTTCGAATTATTGACATCATAAATTAAAAACATGAACTTTTGCTCAGTTCCACCATCGTATCCAGGTATACATTGCACCAGGAACATGTTGATGCTGTTCGATTCAAAAGTGCAGTTTTTGGCAGGCTCTGGTTTTTCTAAAAAAAATAACAAACCATGATAATGGATAATGAACCAGAAATACTGTAATTTTCTACGAAGAGTCTTTTACCCTTACCTGCTAATTGCAAAATAGTCTCACAAGGTATAACTTGGTCTCCGATAGGATTTTTGGCATAACACAAAATCGAGTAGTGCCTTTTTTCTCCTTGCTCCGAAACGTACTCTTTGTACATTTGTTGTCTGAACAAAAATTCGTTGGCAGTAGTTGTATTCAAAACCATGGATTTTTTGGCGTGATTTATTTTCCAGGTGTACTTTAGATTATTCTGATGGAAATAGACATTCGGTTTAGTAGATAATAAAAAAAAATGTAATTTTTTTTATCACTTACATGTGGGAAGCTCCTTACGGGACACGTAATGTTGACGTCCTGTTTACTGGATATTGTCATGATTTTGGTGTCGCTTGCACAGATGGGCTCGTCTAGAATAAATCATAATTATTTTATTAACTACCCGTAGGGTAAGTTATAGTAATCGCAAATAAATCGAAAATGAAAATTTTTATATATCTTTACGTTTCAAAGGTTTTTGAACAGTTTGGCATACCTTAGAAAAAATGGATGTATGTGTGTTGTACGCAGATACAAATTTTCGTGGACGATTTCGGGAACACGGATCAACTGATTTGAATAATTTAAAAAACTTTCGATTTGCATTGATAAGGAGACGTGCTGATTGGTTTTTGGCATAGGCAGGTCCAGCCGTTTCGGAGATACGGGACAAAAAGTGCCAAAAATGGTATTTTAGTTTTTGAGAGAACGAAGCATCCGATTTGAATGATTCAAAAAACTTGTATTGACGAAATGAACGCTTGGTGAAATTTTTGTAAAGGCAGGTCCATCGGTTGTGGACTCTCAATAAAAATAAGTTAAAAAAATGCCATTTGGCGGTCGAAAGTGTTCATTAGGCATATGCACATCAAATTATCATATATTTTATAGAGTTTTTAATAGTGTGTACACATTTTGTGTCAATTTTTTTGGGTTCCGTACCAAGATTTTTAATTTTAAAATTTGCTTATTATATATTTGCTTATATACAAATGTACTCGATAGTATGGAATAACCGATTTGTGTTATTTAAAAATCATTCGGTTCGTACTCGATCGCGAGGCGTTTTTGCAAAAGGCAATTTTGCCGTTTCGGAGGTATGGAGCGCAAAGGGTGTAAAAACGGTTATGCAGTTTTTGAGAGAACGGATCTTCCGATAGAATTGATTCAAAAAACAATTTGCTTGAGTAGACGGTGTGCAAAAAATGCTTTTACGGAAAATTTCGTAGCTTTGAAAATTTCCAAAAAAAGCTAAATTTTGAAAAATTTCCAAAAATATGCAAATTAAATAAGATTTCTTATAAAAATTTAAGAATATTTCGAAATTTTCAAAAAAATGGGTTATTTTTAAAAATTTCCGAGTTCTCAAAAAATTTTAGAAGAATCTTTGTTTTATAAAGAAATCCAAAAAATTTCAAACTTCTAAAAAATATCAAAATGTTGTAAAATTCTAAATTATCAAAAAAATCGAATTTACTAAAAATGAACAAATTTCTTATAAACATAACAATGACAAAGTTGTCTCCTCGCCTAATTTAACCCTTTCCACTCGGATGCTACCGCTCAGGCGACGAAAACGATTTCTTATAAAAATTTGGCAATAATTCGAAATTTTCAAAAAAATGGAATATGATCAAAAATTTCCTAATTCACAAATAATTTAAAAAAACGTTTAAAAAAATCCAAAAAATTTCAAACTTCTCAAAAAATGTCAAAATATAATAAATTTCTAAATTATCAAAAAAAATCAAATTTAAAAAAAAATGAACAAATTTACGACAAATTACATACAAATTTTGAAATGCCCGAGAGGAAAGGATTAAAAAGCACTTATAAATTAACAGTATGTATTTATAATAAACAATCTATTTGAAATTATTCAAAACAATTATTATTTTCATTCTTCGAATGTTTAATTGCGGTACGGGAAGTTTCAGCAATTTGCCTTAAGGCACGATGCCATGCACCCCACTAGTTTATATTTCAATAAATAATTTGTCGATAATTTACTCACATTGGACATTTAGAGACAATTCGTTGCTGTATCCGATTCCTTGAGAATTTTCAGCCTGGCAAACGTAGCTGCCAGCATTTTCTTTGGAAATGTGCTGAATTACTAAACTGTTGTTCGTTGATATTATTCCATCCGTGTTGTTTGTTACAATTTTATGACCCTGGGTAAAATAGATATTTTTATAAATATTCACCTTCGCTAAAGGATACAAATACTTAAAGATGTATAATATAAATAAAGAAGAATTTCATAAATTGTACTGACATTGTGTTTCCATTCAACGATGTATTTTAAAGGGTTGGCATTGACGTGGCACTCCAAATACACGTCACTCCCTTTTTTGACAGTCTGAGATCTCAAGGGGGCTCCGAGTGTCAGTCTTATTACCGGAGCATCTGTAAGAATGAATGATACATTTTAAATACCAGAAATATTAGGTTGTCAAATATCTCCCTTCCGCTTTTTTGCTCTTGGTTTATAATACAAAAAGGCGGAAGGGAGATATTTGACAACCTATTATTGTAAATTCAAATTTTCAACTTGAAGCTAAATTTCATCTTCAAGGTAATTTTTTTAAAATTTCTTGATGTTATATAAGTTCTCTAATTTTTTCATTGATTATAACTAACTTACGTAGGACGTTCAATTTCCATGAATCTTGCAAAGGTTTTTTTCCTTCGGTGTCAATATGGCAGTTTAATAGTTTTCCATGGTCGTTTGCATTTGCTATGAAAATTATTCTGCTGGTGGTTGTATTTCTGTCTTCTGAAGTCTACAAATAAAAATTATAATTAGAATAATAATTAATTAACACATGCATTAAATATTAACAAAGCTAAAGAAACTTGTTAAATGAAAAATAATCCTCTAGCCACGAATTCCAATTATACCGATGATTTTAGAGAATTTATATCTGGACTAGCAACACTAGAACTCTGTTTCGCCACTAGATGGTTTCGTTAGAAAGATGAAGAAATTTTTTGTTTGTTTTATATTTGAAAAGGAAAAATTTGATTTTATTACACAACACTAACGAATTTATTTCGATTACAAAAATGAAGTGTTTTTTAGTTGAACTTCTCTAAGTAAATGAAAGTGAATCCGCAAATTATCCGTTTCATTGAAGTGCTCTTTGGTAAACCACATTTTTTGTTTTTTGTACTGACGTTAACATAAACAAAGCGGAGGGTTTCCCAATTCGTGAACAGGCAACGTAAAACTGCCCATGTGAAAAATAATGATTTTCTAAATAATCTATTTGAAATTTATCCTGCAAACACTAAGCGATTGGCCTAGCGACTTGTTATTGCGAATGCAAGGCGAAGTGACGAAAGACCAGTCGGAATCATTGGTATGTCACCAAATCGCCAGCAAATTTTGATTGAATGGTGAAATTCAGTGCGTGTACATCATTATTGTTTGCGGCAAGAATTGCTCGTTGACTTAACCAAGCATAATTCTGATAATTCTCACTAATGTCATTATTCGAATTTTTAATTACGGTGCGTGAAGTTCCAGCAATTTGCATTAGGGCACGATGCCATGCACCACTAATTTTCTTAGCAATGAACCTTGCGGAGCCCGAGGCCTTTCGGAGTTATTTTGTCAGGAAGGAAAACCCGACTTATTTTTATATATATAGGAGATAATATCATGAATAAAAAAAGTGTTGCATTTGATCGAATAATAATGTTCTTACTAAAAGTCCGCAACTTTTATAAAAAAAAAAGTTTATATATTATACTTACAATTTGTGAAGAATTATTAAGAGCAGTTCCTCCCAAAGTCCACAGCAATTTTGGAGCAGGACTTGCCCCTACAACCTCGCAGGAGGCGCTACTGGATTTTCCTGAAGACACTGGTTTGTTGGAACCGATTAATTTTACCCATAATGGTGGCACTGGACAAAAAAATAAAATTATTTAACAAACTATGTACAAATTTATTTTCCATCATTAATTAATATTTCCCATTTCAATTGAATTATTTTAAATGTGATAAATCAAAATGCACTCGTCAAATTCCTTTCAAATTAAAATTAGCCACGCGTTAATTTTCTGTCATTATTGAATTTCGCGGCTGAAAAATGGCAAAACGCATCATTGAATTTGATACGAATTGCTTTTAATTGCATCAATTAATTTAAATAACACATTAAATAACTATGATTGATAATGCATCGGTAATTCATTAAATTTATCGATATTAAATGAAAGCTATCATCTATTCAATATAAACAGCGCATGGTAATATATAGGGGAGGGTTGGAAAATAGTTGACACATTTTATTACTACTACATTTTATTATTAACTTCCCGTAAAATAAGTTATAGTAACCGCAAAAAAATCGCAAACGAGAATGTTTATGTTTGAAAGCTTTCTGAACATTTTGCCATACCTTAAAAAAAAAGGATGTACTTCTAACATTGAGAATTTTGATTTTTTAAAAAAAATCTGACTTTTTTGAGAATTTTTCATTTTTTTAACATCCCGTAGAGTGAGTTATAAGTAGGGTTTATACAAAAACCGACATTTCAGAAAACCGGTTTTCGAATTTTATATAAAAAATAAATTTTTGCTGTATATTATCCGAATATCCTGTAATTTATCCGCAAATTTAGTGTAAATCAGAGCAGTATTTGACTGAATTTATTTATTGTTCAATTTTATAGATAGTAAACAAAATTATTTTAATTTTAATTAGTAGAACTAAAAAATAATTGTTCATCTTGATTAAATAACTTTGAAAATAATTATTCGTTATTCATGCATCATTTTCACATATAAGAATGAAAATATTTTTATGATAGTGAAAGGAAAGTTTTCGAATAAATAGAAATATTACATTTTTGAATAAAAAACATACATTAAATTAATATTAGACACATGTTGATACATACTTGTTAATATCAATTTTAGTTTTAAAAATAATTAAGCTGAACTTGGGTATTGTCTGTTCCAAGCAATTTTAATTAATTAATTTTAAACATTCTGATTGTTTTTTTTTTCGTTTAATAAAATATGATTTCAAAAAACTGAGAACATCTATCGAATTGCTACTTAGACGTGACCTTTGTTTACTCACAAAATTTCCTGAAATAGAAAATATTCTCATACTTGCGACGAAATTATGCTTAATTGTTTTTAAAACCTGATATAATAATTCTAAGTTTTTTGTTCTTTTATTTGCGGCTTCTAGGGTTTAATTTTTTTTTCAAGTTTGAGTAGAGGAAGTTACTTCTTCAAAAAGTTTAAATTAATATATACTCTGGTATAAAAATCGAAATTAATATATACAAAACCTTTCTGGGAACCATTGCAGACTGATAAGATATCAAATGCTATTGAACCGATATGATTTCAAGAATCAAAACGCTTTCATCTATCTTTTATATTTGGCTATATTTGTGATTTTCCATTTATACAGTGAAAACCGACTTTTTTTACTAAAAAACCGGTTTTTGAATTCCATAATTTTCGCCAAAAAACCGGTAGGGTTGGTTGGTTTTCAAAAACCGGCTTTAAAGGTTTTTGAAAACCGACTAACCCTGGTTATGTTAATAATAAAACATTTATTATTCCTCGAACATTTCGTTACGGTACGGGAAGTTCCAGCAATTTCCCTTAAGGCACTGTGCCAAACACCACTAGTTTTGTAACAAATTGGTAAATACACAAATAGAAGTACACATCTCTGTCCAAAAAATCCAATAACTCAAACTTCAACGATCTCCTAATTCATCACCTCACTTTTTCCCGAGTGCAAAAAAAGTACAATCAATATCTTTTCTATTTTACGTCAAAAATTCAATATCGACATTTGTTCGAAAGCCGCCATCATCGGCCAATCTATATAAACACAAAGCGTTTTGCAATTAAATTGATTTATTTATTAGCCGGAAAGGGGAGACTGGGGGTGTTCGGTATAAATTCGAATTGAAAATTTGCATATTGCCTATACAGTGGGGTACGTCGGTATCATAGTTTGTTATTTATAGTCTGGCTATCAGGAACAATATTTATTTTGCTGCGGCCATATCAAAACACGGTTTTAAAACGATATGGTAAGGGAAACCGGGGTAAAATAAAGAGAGTGGACAATTAATCGAACGGAAGCAATTAACCAAAGTTAATAGAAAAACTAGTGGTGTATGGCATCGTGCCTTAAGGCAAATTGCTGGAACATCCCGTACCGTAACGAAATGTTCGAGGAATAATAAATGATTTCAAATACATTATTATAAAAAGTGTAACTTTGTCTAATATTTATAAGTATTATATAAACTGAATTACAAAGTTGAAATTATTTATTTAAATTATATAAGTGAGCTTTAGAATTTCAGCGTAAATTAAAATTAAAATCCGAATTATTTTCGATATACAAAAAAAAATCCTGCAAAAAAATGAATTAAATGGTGTTTAGATAATTCAAATTGGAGTCTCCGTTCTATGAAAAACTCAAATTCTATTTCCTGCAATCTTTGCTCTTATGCCAAAATGTTCAGAAACCTTCAAAATGTAAAGAAATGCAAAAATTTTCATTTTCGATTTTTGGACGATTGCAATAACTTACCCTACGGGATATTAAAAACAATTTGGCACAGATCCCAACTGACATCTTTAGAACAGCTTTAGAATTTTCAAAATCGCTTCAGAATTTTTGGTCAAAATATGTGCAAAAAGTTTCCCTTTTATCTCCAAATGAGTCTGTGGGATCGTAGTAGACTAGAGATTCGAAATGACATATGAATAATTTTAATCACTCTCAAATTAATTTATATGTTATTGATTAAATCGATTATTTACACATATCGGAAAGTTCATGTAACTTGCCACAAGGCAAAATACCAATACCACATAGATATAAAATGATTCGCAGCAACTATACACATTCATCATTGGTGATGCAAAATTAAATTTTTGATGCCTCTCTCTTTTTGCTCCATTTGATAGGTAACTATTTGAAGAATTTATTACCCATCCGAATGTTTTTACAGCATCATATGCCATGCGTCAATTTCGATATTTCGAAATTAGTACGATAGCTGATGAAAATAATTTTTCAAAAGTATAAAACAACTATTATTTGCCTTCGTATTACTGCACTAAAAAATAAAAAGAAATAAATCCAATTCAAAATAAAAGATTTTTTACTAGCTTTTTGGGAGGAAATCCGAAATCTCTCTCGATAAAAAGGTGCTTCTGTACAAAACTATCATAGTGCCCATTTGGACTTACGGAATCGAACTATGGGGTTACTCTTGTAAATGAAACATAAACATAATTCAAAGGTGCCAGAACAAAATTCTGCGTATCTTAACTAATGGTATATTTCGAACTTTTGCCTATGTAAGGATTTGAAAATCTCTACAGTTCATTTTTCAATAATAAATTAATCCACCAATTTAATGAGGGTGGATTGCTTGTGCAAAAACAAGTCAAGTTTAAATCAGAGAAACACGAAAAATGTTACAAAGTGAGAGCCTGTGGAATAAGTTTATTATTACTTATTACTACCAGCGCTCTGTCTATTCATTTCGCACTGTTTCCGATATGTATTTATATTTTTGCGGATGTAATATTGCATTTGTTCAATTGCGATCGATTGTAAATACTTCAATGTTCCATTGCGAAGTGCTATTCAAATATTTCATTTTAACCAATTCCATATTTTCATAGAGAGAATATATTTTTCATTTGTGAAATTACTAAAAAAACGCACTTACGAGATAGATATTAACAATACTTAATATTTTTTAACGTTATATTTTCTAAATGTTATGTTTGATTGTTCGTGATATTAATGTTTCATCTTATATATAAAATTCTTCTGTAATGATGTATGAATGGATATTCCTCTTAAATGATTATTCAGATTTTGATAAATCTATTTAAAGTTTGTTGAGGGATTTTTTTAGGATTTAGTGATTATAGAAATATAGTTATATTGAGAAATAAACAGAAAAAATGACAAAAAAAAACGCTTATATTTGTTTGACATTGAAGATATTTGAGGTATTGTTTGACATTGAAAACAAATGAAAACTATCATCTGCTAAAAATTTCAATTTCCTCGTAATATTATATTACCTAGACAATATTAGAATACGCATAAAAAATTAATGATTATGAATAAGAAAAATGAAATGTCTACATTATTATTGCCAAAAAGCAGCTGAGACGTACCAGAAATTAAAATAATATAAGATAGAACATATTTTTGGCTGATGAAATTATATAATTCAGTTTGACAGATTATTATTTTTAACTAAGCAGCCGTGTTTTGCCTTACTTTACTATATCACAAAACAAAACAAAAATTACTTATTCAAAAAATTATTCAGAAGTTCCATTGTGTAAAAAATTCATATCAATGGAGCGTTTTGGGCCTGAATTTTTTTTACTGTGCTCCAATTTGCATGAAATTTTGGAATTAGGTTCATCTTACTCTCAAGTTCGGGAACGCGGGTCAACCGATTTGAATAATTCAAAAAACATTCGATTCATATTGATAAGCAGACGTGCTGATTAGTTTTTGGCAAAGGCAGGTCTAGCCGTTTTGGAGATACGGGACAAAAAGTGCCAAATATGGTATATCAACTTTTGAGAGAACGGAATAGCCAATTTGTAAGATTCAAAAAACATTTTATTTGTATTGACGAAATGAAGAATTGATAATTTTTTTAAAAAGACAGGTCTAACGGTTTTGGAGAACTAATTAAAAAATGACAAAAATGATCATTAGACATATACACATAAAATTATCACAATTTTATTTACTTTTTTACAACAAATTTTGTTTACCTTTCTATGGGTTTCGTACCAATGTTTATCCGCTATACTGCGACGCGGCGCCCACGCGCTTCAATATTTCGTTTTTACGAAGCTAACACATCGCGATTGCTTTGATAAAAAGTTCAAAATTTCCAAAATATTTCATAGTATGAAAAAATCAAATTTTCAATAAGGCCAATTTTTATCAAGAATGTTAAATATCTGAAAAATCGATTTTTTTCAGAGTTCTAAAAGAAAATTGAATCTTTTTTAAAAAATTTAAATTTATTACGGGAAGTTTCAGAAATTTGCCTTAAAGCACGATGTCATACACCACTTGGTCATTATTTGTCTGATAAAATCAAAAATACTTAATAATCGGATGACGCACTTTAGTTACTTTGCCGTGCCTAAAGAAGTTTTACTTCACGAAATTTATGTTCACCCCACTATTTGTTTCAAAGTCGATTTAACACATTGTTGAAGATTGTATCTTAATACCCGAAACCGGATTTTAATTCTTACATTAGTCTCTGGAAGCAAAAAGTAGTCTTCTATAAAATACATTCATGATGGTGATGTCCCTCCGATCGTCTTAATAAGCTACTTCTTGACACCTCATTATTATTAATATCCATTTGATGCGTCCAATCCATTGAATATATTATTTTGAATTACCCGCGGATAACAGGAAATTATAATAAACCGAGAGACAAATAAGATGAGATTAATATCTAAGATATTTAGATCAGAATAATATTTTGTATTGGCGCTCGGATCCTGTAAGAAATTTTAGTTTCTGACCCGGTTGAGGTTAGAAACTTGGTGTACTTTCAAACTTAGTTTCACCAATTTATAAACTAGTGGTGTATGGCATCGTGCCTTAAGGCAAATTGTTGGAACTTCTCGTACCGTAATGAAATATTCGAGATATTTTAAACTTTTTTCAAATGTATTATCACAAATACTTGCAGTATACATTCATTATTTTTGCTATCTTGTTATATCTGAGCAAATCAAATGTAAATCATAAATAAATCAATTTATCTCCAGAACATTAACAATCGTCATTTCATTTCGAATTCAATTTAAAAAAAAAAATAGTTGCCTAAAATTTTCACAAAATTGAAAAATTGCTCCCGTGTAGTCACAGTCTAAACGCATTTGCAAATAATTCTGTGCGACATTTTCACTTAGACTGTGCTTAGCTTGGCGGCATTTTCACATTTTTCAATATAAACAGTCCGTGCTTAGCCTGGGTAATTTTTTGAATTTTTAATCCAATATTACAAAAATATTTTATGGAAAATTAAAAAAGATGTAATAATTTTTTATCCTCAACAGCAATTGTTTTTGTCAATACAGGCTGAAAGTTTTTAGATCATTCAAATCGGACGCTTAGTTCACTCAAAAACTGCCATTTTTGCACATTTAGCTCCGTATCTTCGAATTGGCAGGACCTGTCTTTGCTAAAATCCAATCACCTCTTCTCCTAATCATTACAAATTGAATGTTTTTTATGTCATTGACATCGGATACTCCGTTCTCTCAAAAACTCGATTTGTATTTTCTGCACTCTTTGCTTCGTATGTCCGTAACGGCTGGACCTGCCTTTGCCAAAAACTAATCAGCACATCTCCCTGTCAATAGGAATCTTAGGTCTTTTAAACCATTCAAATCGGTTGATCAGTGCGCCCGAAAACGTGGACGAAAAAATGCGGACACACAAAACACACACACACACATCCATTTTTTCTGAGGTATGCCAAAATGTTCAGAAACCTTCAAAACGTCGAGAAATGCAAAAATTTTCAATTTCGATTTTTGGACGATTACAGTAACTCACCCTATGGAAAGTTAATAATGTAATTGTAGTCATACTTCAAATATGACATGATCGGTTTGTCATTGTAATTAGCATTTTGAAATGAACCTTCATTAGAGAAATGAAGTAATTGCTAATTAATTAATTCTATAATATTGGTTCACACAGTGGATTATGTTAAACAACGTCTAAACAAATATTGTTTTCGCAACTTTACTCATCATGTAATTGTGTTTGAAGAACTTCATGTAATTAAAATTAACATACATTCATTGACTGATTGTATTTTGATTTACTTTTTTGCTGGCGATATGGTCTCATTCTTTGAACTGCTGTAATATCTGTTTTGCCTAAAAAATATTTTCCATTTCAATAACTTCAAAAATTTATAGAAACTACGAATATTTATATATGTTTAATTTCTTTTGTTGTTTTCAAGGAACAGAGTATAATATTCTTCTGATCAATGCATTTTTCATTAAATCAATATTTGTGCCACGATGTAACTTCAAAATGTTTGTTTATTTATGCCAATTTCCTTGTCGATATCGGTACGCATACAACGTCGATGCCGGTACGCATACAACGACAGATGTCTATTCACTCGACACGACAACTAATCATAATCGACCCATATAGAAATGATATCATCGAGAACGAATGACGAATCATTGGCACTTGACCTTGCCGTAACGCACTTCCGTTGGATTTGTACGGATTTACACCCTAGTTGCGCCTAAAGAAGTTTTATTTTACTTCAAAAACTTTCAAACAACTGCATAATTTGCAATGAATCCAATTCCTCCTACTTCAATTACTCCATGCCGACCACTTTCGCTACCGTATTCTTTCCAACACCTTTTATTATAAATGTCGCCATTACAAAATCAAACACAATAAATTCTTGGCGTCAACTAAATAAACAAATAAATAATAAATAATTGACAAAGAAGAGGCGGACATGTTTTACAAAAGAGCCACTGTACAAGGCAGGATGCCGCAAGGCTTGGTTCACCTTCACCTCGATAAAAAAAATCTTTTGAAGATGCAATAATGGAGAGTTTATTGTTTGTTCAAAGATGTGTATGATGTCTACTAGGGTTTATTTATACAAAAACCGACATTTCAGGAAACCGGTTTTCGAATTTTATATAGAAAATAAATTTTTGCTCGAATATTCTGTAATTTATCCGCAAATTTAGTGTAATTTAGAGCAGTATTTGACTGAATTTATTTATTGTTCAATTTTATAGATAGTAACAAAATTATTTTAATTTTAATTAGTAGAACTAAAAATAATAGTTTATCTTGATTAAATAACTTTGAAAATAATTATTCTATATTCATGCATCATTTTCACATATAAGAATAAAAATATTTTTATGATAGTGAAAGGAAAGTTTTCGAATAAATAAAAATGATACATTTTTAAATAAAAAAATGCATTAAATTAAAAAAAATTAGATACATGTTGATACATACTTGTTAATATCAATTTTAGTTTTAAAAACAATTAAGCTAAACTCGGGTATTGTCTGTTCCGAACAATTTTAATTAATTAATTTTAAACATTCTAATTGTTTTTTTGTTTAATAAAATATGATTTCAAAAAACTGAGAACGTCTATCGAATTGCCACTTAGACGTGTCCTTTGTTTACTCACAAAATTTCCTGAAATAGAAAATACTTTCATTCTTGCGACCAAATTATGCTTAATTGTTTTTAAAGTCTGATATAATAAATCTAAGTTTTTTGTTCTTTAATTTGTGACTTCTAGGGTTTAAAACTTTTTTTTATTTTGAGTAGAGGAAGTTACTTCTTCAAAAAGAAGTCACACTGATTTAAATTAATATATACACTGGTATAAAAATCTAAATTAATATATACAAAACCTTTCTGGAACCACTGCAGACTGATAAGATATCAAATGCTATAGAACCGATATGATTTCAGGAATCAAAACGCTTTCATCTATCTTTTATTTATGGCTATATCTGTCATTTTCCATTTATACAGTGAAAACCGACTTTTTTCACTAAAAAACCGGTTTTCGAATTTCATAATTTTCGCCAAAAAACGGTTTTTAAAACCGGTTTTTGAAAACCGACAAACCCTAATGTCTACTTACGTTTCATCTGAATCTTGACGGTGTGGACAACGGTGATATAAGGTGACTGTTGCTGGCCTGACAAGTGTAGATCTGGAAAAGGGTCAGATTAGACAATTGCTATATAGGCAATTTCTATATCTTACCTGATTAGCATCTTTTCTAGTCATATGCTTTAATTGCAAAATGTTCCTGACGGATCCATCTGGAAGAGTATCGCAGGAATCGTCTAACAGTTCATGTTCTCTCCACCAGGTCACTTTTGGCGCAGGACGCCCTGGTAAAGGAAGAGAGGAATAAAAATGAAAATACTCAGCCAAAAATTGATTTCAATCGATTTAAATGCTCTTGGATGTGCAAACATTTTGATTATGATCCCGTTGTTGTCAAAGTTCTTGGTATATTATTTTGGCACTTTTGGTGCAGGACGTCCGGGTAAGGGAAGAAATAAAATGAAGATAAAAATTAGTTTCAATCAATTGGTGAAAAGCTAATGGAATTGTAACAATTCCGATCACCATCCTGCTGTTGTCAGATTCTGTAACTACAACTAGGGACTATTGTCAGAAGTCTCGTAATATTATTTTGTCATTTTTTATACTGGGCGCCCAGGCAGAGGAAAAATAGAAACAAGGATGCTAGATGCAGAAAATAATGTGGAAAAATTCTAATAGAATTTCAAGAAATCTGATCATCACAATGTTATGTTAGATTTGGCAACCACGTCAACGGACTGTTGCCAATTGTCTTGTAATATTTTGTCCCAGAGAACTGAACAACAAAAAGGAAGATATTAGAAAAAAACTGATGGCCACCAACTTGTAATGAAGTTGCAAAAATTCTGACCATCATCCTATTGTTATTAGATTTTGCTACCACGTCAACGGATTGTTCTAAAATGTCTTATAATATTATTTTGTTACGTTTGGCGCAAGGCGCCCAGGAAAATGAACAACAAAAATGAAAATATTAGGAAAAAAACAGATGTTCATCAACTGATAATGGAATTACAACAATTCTGATGAACATCCTATTGTCATTAGATTTGGCAACTACGTCATTGGGCTGTTCTCAAATGTTTTGTAATATTATTTTATTACTTTTGGCAGAAAATAATGTGCAAAAATTCAAATGGAATTTCAAGAATCTGATCATCATAATGTCGTGAAGGAAAAAATTAAAACAAAGATACTAAAGGCAAAAACTGATGTCAATCAAGTTGCAAAAATTCTACTGGAATTACATTATTATCGGATTTGTTCAAATTCTATGCCAATGCTCAGTTGATTCCCACAAACTCGTCACTCAGTATTGACCTCAAACCAGTTCGAAGATGATCGGAAACACGTTGTATTTATTTGAGCGTAGGGCGCCCTGATAAAGGAAAAACTAAAA